CCTTTTTTTTTATTCTTCGTCGTTCAGTGTTGAGTTAATTTAAGGAAAATTCGAGAAGGCTCCCCAGGTAGTATAATTTTGGGTCCAAACAACCCCCAAAGTATTTATGTTTGTGAATTTGAATACCTACACAGCAGAAATGGGTGATTTAAAAGTGAAACACATATATTTAGAATCACCGCACTCAACGATAAATTAAATAAATGGACGATGACCAAACTTAGCTCAAAAATCAAGTATCAAGTTGAAACATCTTGTGGACAAGGTGGCTTATTCCTTTGAAAAATTAGTTCAGGTATTTTAAAAGAATGGAGAAGCAACGGCTATACAGATTGCTGAGCTATGAGCCTCCTTCTAATCCTGTTTCTTTGTCAATTAATTAGTAACATTAAATTAATTTAATCCTCGTATTCTCGCACCCATTGACCATTGCATCAAATCAATCGGACTAGGCTCGCTCAAATCCATACTCATCATTATTCTGCTACTGTAACTTTTAAAATAATTGGAGAGATATAGAGAAAGCACTGTAAATTTCTTGATAATTTGTGTTTAGAATAAAAGAGGGTTGGGTGGAAAGACTATGACTAGTTGACTGTATTGCTTCACGGGTTAATTTGACCGAAGAGTTTAAAAAAGTATTAAAAAGAAGGGTCAGTCCCAAACTTTGTTAAAAGATAAAGTTACAATCTTGCCCTCATCTTTAATGGAACAAACACATCATATATCAAAATCTCACCTGCAATTTATTGAAATCATATTTTTTTTTATAGGTTTTCCATATTTTAGTTTAATTAAAGATAGTTAATATCTATTTTTGTATCCTCTATTTTTCATCGTATTCGTGTCAATACCTTGTATTAATTAGCCCATTTTGTCATTGATTTTCATCCAAAAAAATTATTACAATACGATAATAAAAACTTATTTAACTTTAAGTCATGTGATTGTTGAGTCAGTCATTTTTTTTATCCTATAAAAGCTGAAATTCATAAATTTAAATATTTTGAAGATTTCAAACTTACATTTAAAGGTTAAATATATAGCTCCTGTTTGGTATCCATTTTTTTCAAAATACATTTTTCTCTCGTTTCTTTTCAATCACACATTTTTTATTAAAATAATATTACACGTAAATCAAAAATTTTTCTATATATTTCAACCACACACTTCCCATCAAATTACTATTCTAAAATACATTTTTACATAAAATGAATGTCAAACACCCCATAATCGCACCATATAAAGGATTGAAGAGCCCAACAATACTGTGCAAATATGGCCAAGAATATGGAGAGATTTTTTTGAACACTTGTATGTTCCCTTTTGAAAATTTTACCGTTGTATAGGTAGGGGCAATATGGTAAAAGTAAACAGTAGTGTGTTCAAGTGAAAGGGCAAAACAGGAAACTTGGTAGTTCTCAGCGGCAGTGGGGCCGACCCTAAACGACAAAGGACGACAGTGCGGTGCGGTGCGGTGCAGTGCAGCCAGGACATATTAGTCGTCGCCATTTTTTTCACTAATTCGCACTTCCCTCTTTTACCCCTCGTGTTCAATATTAATATAGAATTCGGAATAAAACCACTGATTTTTCAGAGGGGGTCACTCTCGGTGCATAAATTGTTACACACCAGAAGAGGGAGGGGTATGTAGGATAAGCAGAGGGCGTGATGTTGGAGTGTTGCGCTTGAATCTTGGGAAGCTTTTAATCTTCACCTTGTGTAGTGTGCCCTGTGTTTGTAAAAAGTTTGCATCTTTTACTTGGGTTTGGCTTCTTGAATCTTGGTTAGAATGGCAGCTTCGCAGTTCAGCATTGTTCGCTGTTGGAGGAGGGAAAATCCGGCCAGATTTGTATTTTTCTTCCTATGCTTATTGTGTCTAATCTCGCTATCACGCGCCGGTAGGCTCCCTGCTTCTAGACAGAAGCTCGAAGTTCAGAAGCACTTGAATAGACTCAACAAACCTCCTGTTAAAACCATTCAGGCACCCTCTCTCTCTCTCTCTCTCTCTCTCTCTCTCTCTCTCTCTCTCTTTACTGTATAATTTGTTTTTCCTAGTTATGCTGTTTAGTTTGAGCTATATAATTCTAGTTGTGTGACCTTTCTTGTTTGTTCTTTTCCCCCTTTTTTCAGTTCATAAATGCTCCCTATAAGGGGTACTTCACTCTTTATTTCCATTTATAAGCTTTAGCTATTGAAGCTTCGATGATTCTTCTTATGATTTCAGTACCACATTTATGGTTTATCTGTTCTGTGGTCGTAGAGTATAGATTTACCTGGGTTTAATTTTATGAACAGAGTCCAGATGGGGATATCATTGACTGTGTTCACATCTCTCATCAGCCAGCTTTCGACCACCCATTCCTCAAAGACCACAAAATTCAGGTCCATTTTTTCATCTTGTTTATTTTAGTGTTTATTTGGTTACAGCGTTATTTTCGGTTCCACAAAACTTAGTGTTCTGTGTTGATTTCAGACTAGGCCTAGCTACCATCCAGAAGGGCTTTTTGATGAGAATAAGATATCCAGAGAGCATAAAGAGAGAGCAAATGATATCACTCAGCTTTGGCATATGAATGGTAAGTGCCCTGAGGGCTCCATACCCATAAGGAGAACAAAAAAGGAAGACATTTTGAGATCAAGCTCTGTGAAAAGGTATGGAAAGAAGAAACACAGAACTATTCCCAAGCCAAGGTCTGCAGATCCTGACCTCATCAATCAAAGTGGTCATCAGGTAAATAAAGCAAGATAAAAAAGGACTCTCTGGTATTGGACTGATTTTCTTTTTCATAATGTAACGTTCTTTGACTTTGTGGGCTAATTACCAGCATGCTATAGCATATGTTGAAGGAGAAAAGTATTATGGAGCAAAAGCAACGATTAATGTGTGGGAACCCAAAATACAGCAGCCTAATGAGTTCAGCCTATCTCAGATATGGGTTTTGGGTGGTTCCTTTGGTGAAGATCTTAACAGCATTGAAGCTGGTTGGCAGGTATATTTTAGCTGAAATTTACAAGTGACTCGCTAGATAATACTTGTAAAATTAGAGTCAAGATATATTATAAGAAATTTCATGTGGTTACTACATCTTTGAATATGATGGATGGATGGACGCACATGATTTCAGGTCAGTCCAGATCTCTACGGTGACAACAACACCAGGCTCTTCACTTATTGGACTGTAAGCTTACAAATTTGCAAACTCTACCCCCACTTCTTATGGAGTCGGAACTAAAAGTTTTAATATGAGTTTATTATTGCAGAGTGATGCATATCAAGCCACAGGTTGCTACAACCTTCTTTGCTCTGGCTTCATTCAAGTTAACAGTGAAATAGCAATGGGTGCAAGTATCTCCCCAGTTTCTGCCTCTAGAAATTCCCAATACGATATTAATATCCTTGTCTGGAAGGTAAATCTAAATTTACCTACCTTTTTGTTAAGGTGTTGGGGGGGCACCAACCATAATTTGAATCTCCAAGTTAATAGAAAAACGAAGTAGATGTGATCTTTATGCTCTGATTATATAATTTAATAATTGTGACGAGAAAACAATCAATATTATTCTGATGCTGAGAATCTTGCCATTTTCTTCTGGATTGCATCAATTTCTCCAGTTCCTTACGTTGTCTAATTACCACTACCATGCTGCACTGTAATGACACAACTACCCCAAAAAAAAAAAAAAAAGAACAGTGCAATTCATAAATTTTTACTTTATTGGGTGTGCTCGAGCAAAAGCAACTCAGGTCCATTTAATGTTTGTTTATCCCTTTCTGTGTTTGCATTTCCATTATAGGATCCAAAAGAGGGAAACTGGTGGATGCAGTTTGGCAGTAACTATGTGTTGGGGTATTGGCCGTCTTTCTTGTTCTCCTACTTAGCAGACAGTGCTTCCATGATTGAATGGGGTGGGGAGGTTGTAAACTCAGAACCCAATGGGCAGCACACCTCGACTCAAATGGGCAGTGGTCGTTTCCCAGAAGAAGGGTTTGGCAAGTCAAGCTATTTCAGGAATATTCAACTTGTTGACAGCTCCAACAATCTCAAGGCTCCCAAAGATCTTGGCACCTTCACTGAGCAATCCAACTGCTATGATGTCCAAACGGGCAGTAATGGAGATTGGGGTCATTACTTCTATTATGGAGGTCCCGGTAGAAACCCTAATTGCCCGTGAACTTAAATGTATCATTCAATGTAGTCTAATGCCTACCTCTCTATGTACAACTCTTTCTCATTTCTTTTTCATTTTTTCCAAGTTTGTTCGGTAAATGGGATCCTTGTAGTTGGCAAGTTTTGACCTTTCTGTTTTTTTCTCCAATGTAATTGAATGGAGAAATAGCCTAGTTTCTTTGTTAAATACTCCAACTTGGAGTGCTTTTAGTCAAATTAATGGATGAATGAAGCTTCTGATTTTGGTTTTGCTTTAAATTTTAAAGTTGCTTGTATATTTATTTAAACATTATCTTCCACACATCTATTTTACATAATAATGTAGGCAGTTTTATTTATTTATTTATTATTTATTATTTTTTGTTCAAATCCTAACGTGGATAATTTCATTACATGGGTGACGGAGGAACTTGAACAAAAGATCTTTGTTTGTTCTGACTCTATGGTGGACCTTTGTTAGTGTTGGAATTTTGTATCGAAAATTTGGTTGGGACCAATTTTACATAATTATTTAAGTAGACTTCTTAATTAGTGTGGAACCTCAAATAATTCTAGACACCTTAGTGGCACTAAGACATGAATATTAGATGATTAAAGTATACTTCAAATTTTTAGTCTCATTTGAGACCCATTTTCAACATAGGAAACATTCGATTTGGAAAATAATATTTAAATAAAAGTTGTAACTCTTTGAATTAGTTTTCCAACGCACTTTGAATTACCTCAATCGGATATCGGGAGAAGAAGTTATGATAGAAACACTAAAGGTTGTGCAGTGTCAACCGGATTACAATCGGTCGACTGAAACTGTCTGAAATGAAAATTCTCATTTTTCTCTAGAATTTAAATATTTATTTTCATCAATTATTTTCTCAAAGGACCAACCAAATTTTTGGCAATAAAAACTCCACTAAATTGAAGCATTTAACCTCAAAGTTAAATGACACTCATGTTTTCTCTCTTAAATGAAATTTGACCCTTCATTTGTTTTAAGTTATGTGATATTTACCTATAAATAGAGACCTCGTTTCACTCATTTTTCTCACACCAAAAGCAAGAGATTTTACATACTAAAAATAGAGTTTCCAAGAGAGAAAAAGAGAGGGAAGAAAACTATTTTTCCTAGAAGTTTAAGAAGTGTTTTCAAGCATCAATTATCAACGATTTTTTCAAACATCCAAGGAGTACATTTCTTTCAACGTCCCAGTTTCATCGAAATTTTCAATCCAAGTTTTCAAAATTTCAAAAGTATCAATTAAGATAGGTAGAGGTGCAATGTGTTTAATCGTGTTAAATTATAAGTTTCGATTCATGTTAATGTTTGTATGTCAAATGTTACTTCGGTACGGCATATCCCTCTATGTAAATGGTTGTATGTCAAATGGTACTCCGGTACGACATACCCCTCTATGTTGAAGAAATGTTCGTATGTCAAATGGTGCCCTCGGGTACTGCATACCCCTTCATGTCAAATGGTGCCTCCAGGTACGACATGTATGAAAAGTTATAAAGTTAATGTTTTGAAATGTATAACTTGATTACGAATGCACCTATGACACCTACTGAGTATTTCAACTCACGGGTTTGATCTCATCTCTACAGATTGAAGGAATTCTACCTCGAGCATGGATGGAGGGGAAGATGGAGAGTGATGCAATGAGTCCATGGAAATCCGATGAATAAGTGATTTGGATTTATTTTTATGAAATGTTTTTCAATGTTATTTCTTTAAAGTTTTGAATAACGCAGAATGCGAGAACAAGTTACGTTTTCTTCAAATAAATTACATTTTGTTGTTTTGAAAAATGATTCAATGTTTTTGTTTAAAGTATTTGAAGTATTGTTATTTAAATTATTATCCGAAAATGTAAGCTTCCGCTAAAACGTATACACTTGTTACTAAACCACCGGTTAAACTCAGTAAAGTAAGTAGCGTTCCGATCCACTAGGGGTCGGGGCGTTACAGCGTGGTATTAGAGTAAGGTTTAGCCGGTTCTGTAGACCAAGTATGTGTTTTTTTTTTTAAATAAAAGGAAAATGAAAAGTTTAAGGTATTCCATGGCATCGTGCATCCATCCATCAATCTCATCCTATAGCTCAGGTATGTTCATGTTTAAAGTTAATGATTATGTTTATGTTATGATGCTTTGATATGATTTAGAGATGTGTTATTTAAAGATATGTAGTGGGCTTGGGCAAAAGCAAAGGGCTTAAAGGGAATTGCATGATATGAAAGTTTAAATATTTGCATGTTTTCTTTAAGCAAAGAAAAAGTATGATGTATGTGAAAATGCAACAGATATGGCTCGTAGAACGGTTAGGGCATATAGAGAAGTATTGAACCGTAGAATTGCTATTCATTCCTATGAAAACTATGTAACTGATCCGACCCGACCGCTTAGCGAACATGTGTATGACATCTATGAGAGATGCATGACAGCGGTTAATGCTGGTATGGAGATCATGCATATTGAGGCCATAAATAACCTCAGATACTCCCTTCTACCTCAATGGGGAGATATGGGAGTCACGGTTAGAGATGAAATGTTAGAAGCCAACCCAAACCTGTTCGAGTTTGAGAGGTATTGCCATGTCCTGATTGATTTGTGGGATGATGTAATCCATGAGGAGCCTGAGGAGGAACCTTTGGCTGAGGAAGAAGAACCCAAGGATGATTTAGAGAATGATCCTGAGCCACAGGTTGAGATGGACATAGAGTCCGGACTTGAGGCGGAAGACTCATCCGAAGATGAAGGTCCACCAAAGAAGATCCGTAGAACTTATAGAGATTATATTTAAATCCTTGTAATAGCTTCCCTTATATCAAGAAATAAAATACTATCTTCTTTGCTTTAATATTCGAAGGATGATAACAGCAACCAGAACCAGAAAGGGAAAGCACGAGTTTTTGCATTGACTCAACAGGATGCAGAGGAAAACTCTAATGTCATAGCAGGTACTCTACTGATAGCCTATACACCTGCTTATGTATTGTTTGATTCAGGAGCTACACACTCCTTTGCTTCAACAACTTTTATGGCTAAATCTAGTATTACCTGTGATAAGTCGGAAGGTACATTAGAAGTTAGTATTCCTTCGGGCAACCCTTTGAATACCGATAGAATAGCCAAGTCAGTAAGTATCGAAGTTGAGGGAAACCCAATGGAAGCGAACCTATACATGATAGAAATGAAGGATTTTGATGTAATACTAGGCATGGATTGGTTAGATTGTAATTACGCCACCATCCGATGTAAGGAAATGGAAGTATCATTTCAGAAACCAGAAGAGGAACCATTTTCGTTCCTTGGAATGAAGACGAAACCCCTTATTCGACTAGTATCGACTTTACAAGCTGAGAAGATGTTGAGAAAAGAAACATGTCAAGGATATCTAGTAAGTATCTCAGGAGGGAAACAAGAGACGATAAGGGTTGAAGATGTACCAGTAGTACGAAAATTCGTAGATGTGTTTTCAGAAGATCTATCTAGTATTCTACCCGACAGATAAGTGGAATTCACCATAGACCTAATTCTCGGGGCGGCACCAGTATCTAAGGCCCTCTACCAAATGGCCCCAAAGTAACTACAAGAATTAAAGAAGCAGTTGCAAGAACTCCTAGATATGGGTTTTATACGACCAAGCGTATCTCCATGGGGTGCGCCGGTGTTGTTTGTAAAGAAGAAAGATGGAAGCATGAGGATGTGCATCAATTATAGGGAGATAAATTGATTAACCATCAAGAATAAGTACCCACTCTCAAGGATCGAGGATCTATTAGATCAACTGAAAGGAGCTAAGGTATTTTTCAAGATCGACTTATGATCGGGATACCATCAACTGAAAGTAGAAACAAAGGATATACCTAAGACAGCTTTTAGAACTCGATATGGACACTATGAGTTTACGGTGATGCCGTTTGGGCTAACCAATGCACCTGCAGTGTTCATGGACCTGATGAATCGAGTGTTTCATCAATACTTGGATAAGTTTGTCATAGTCTTCATCGATGATATTCTGATATATTCCAAGAATAAGGAGCAACATGAAGAGCACTTGAGAATAGCCTTAGAGTATTATGCAAGGAGAAGCTGTATGCCAAATTCAAGAAGTACGAGTTTTGGCTTGAACGAGTTGGATTTCTTGGACATGTAGTTACTGCCCAAGGGATTGAAGTAGATCCAGCAAAAGTAGAAGCAATAACCAACTGGAAAGCACCAACATATGCTGGCGAAGTACGGAGTTTTCTAGGATTGGCTGGATATTATAGGAGATTCATAGAAGGATTCTCCAAAATAGCTGGACCAATGACGCGGCTTACAAGGAAGGGAGTAAAATTTCAATGGACGGAAAAATGCGAACAAAGTTTCCAAGAATTTAAGCAGAAGTTGATATTAGCACCTGTATTAACAATACCTGAAGGTACGGAAGAGTTTGTTATATACAGCGATGCATCCAAGCGAGGATTGTGATGTGTACTAATGCAGAATGAAAAAGTGATAGCCTAAGTAAGGATGAGCTCGTGGCTCGTTTTTCACTAGCCGAGCCCACGAGCGGCTCGCGAGCTCTTGAATTTATTTTTTTTTGCAAATTTTTCAAATTTTATTGATAAAATATTATTTTTTTCCACTTTTTTGGATGAGCCGGCTCGTGGGCTCGGCGAGCTCGATGAGCCGAGCGGGCTAGGCTCGTTGGACACGACCCCTCGCTCGGCTCGAGCTCGAGCTCGTTATTTGACGAGCCCGAGCAGCCTACGAGCCGAGCTTTGACGAGCCGAGCCGGCGAGCCACGAGCCGTCTCGGCCCAATTGACATCCCTAAGCCTATGCTTCAAGACAATTGAAGAAACATGAGCAGAACTACCCGACGCATGATTTAGAACTTGCAGCGGTAGTACACGCTTTGAAGATATGGCGACACTACTTGTATAGATGGAAGTGTGATATCTACACAGATCATAAAAGTCTCAAGTATTTCTTCACATAGAAGGAATTGAATATGCGATAAGGACGATGGTTGGAATTGGTGAACGATTACGACTGCACTATTCACTACTATCCGGGTAAGGCTAATGTTGTGGCCGACGCTCTAAGTAGAAAATCAATTGGACAATTGACGTTACTACCCACCTCTCAAGTGGAGTTAGTCAAGGACTTGGAAAAGTTGCAGATCGAAGTGGTTACCATACCAGGACAAGTCACTGCTCGTCTAGTAGCTTTAATAATTCGACCTACTCTTAGAGATC